AGTACGGGGTTTTGTTTTCTGTGGGGTTTTTTGGTCTTCCAAAAAGCTTTAGGGAGCTGCAGATTTTATCAATGGACCAGCGTGGGCTCTCAGTTGTATGTCACAGGGAGTGGAGGACAAGGCTGAGTGCGTTCATCCTGTTATTGCTCAGGGTTGGGATGTGTTCTTAACGATGAATATTGCAGCATGCTGTGTTAGGAAGCTGGATGCTTTGCTGGCAGAGCGCTCGTTAGCTTCAGTGCTGTTTTTCCGTCATTGTGCCTCCTGTGTAATAAATATCCCTGCAAAACCATAGCGGTAAACGCAGCTTTGAAGTAGCTGAGCCCATCCATAGGACCGTGCCTGGCAGGCTGGGACCAGTCCTTCTGGACCTTTGCCAGCACACCTATGTGGCACAGACACCACCGCTACCTCGCTACAGGCGATGCTGGGAAGAGTTTCTTCCACTACGCTGGCTTTTTGACTTAAGCTACGCTTGGGTGGAAGTGACTTCTAGCAATGTGTGAAAGTGTGCATCTTAATCGAAGTGAAACTGTTCATTTTATTCAGTGAAATCAAGTATAAACATACAAGAAACACTCGGCTGCCACAGAGACCTCGGTGCAACAGTGGCTTTTAAAAGTGGCCTGAGAACCAAAAAGGGAACTCGGAGAGTTTGAGTATTTTCAAAAAGAAATCATTTGAGTGCAAAGGATCAAGATGAACCTGGGATTTAAAGAGCTAATGGCCTGCATGTGTATGTACACTCGGAGCACGCAGGTAAGCCTGCTTGCCAGCATGGACAGTTTGCCACTATATATTTTTGGGAGGAATCAGGAACTCCTGTCAGAAAGGTGTTTGAGGTTTTTCTGCTCCCTGGTAACCATATCAGTTTCAGTTGGCTTTTACGAGTTATTAATACTTGAGGTATGCAAAAGCTGAGTATAGATGGGAGTGTAACAGTATCTAGAATTTTATGGTGTAGCTTATTGACTTAGGAGGAGCTGCACTGACACAGGCATTTTTCACCACGGAAAAGTCTTCATCTGGTTTAGGAACTCTCTGGAAAAGCTGTTTCTAGTGTAAACTCAGCGGGAAGTAACGTCGATGAAAAACGATTATGCTGTGTTTCTCTCTTCAGGTGAGAGCGCTGATTACCCCACACTGAATTTTCCTTGGGCCTTTGCAGTGGCTGCTTTGTCTTCCCCCTGATTTATGGGTTTTGGGGAGAATAAGCGAGACTTGGACATGCCTGGGAGGAGAGGGAGCTCCTGAGAGTGGGTTTGTTGTGTTCAGGGAGGAGACTCTGTCTGAGGCTGCCCCAGGACATGTGATGGAGGGTGACTTAAAACCTGGGATGTATTTTCACAGCTGTTGTGGGAGCTTTTGCCATTTAACACAGCACAGATGTGAATGATAAAATATAAATTGAAGATTAATGTACACCATCTTGGTGTGTGAGAGGTTCAGTTATGGGCAGAGCAAGCAGAATAATGAAAAATACATTTGAGTGATTGTTCCGTTAATATAATTTGCAATGAATAATTCACAACAATTTGTTCACCCAGCTCTTATTGTAATCATTTTCATTCCTTCATTTGCTATGCATTTGAAACTGCTTCCCACAACTTGTGCTTGACATGGAATACAGTATATCCACGCATCCAGCCCCTTCTCCCCACCTCTCCCTGCCTACATGCAAAGGACAGATTTTAAAGAGCTCAGCATTTTAGGTACTGAGCTCTCTTTAAGCAGCTAATCGTGTCAGTGGAGGCTGCTGCAGAGGGGGGGCTGCGCCCTGCTGACCCCATCGATGCGACCCATAAAAGCCTGTTCTGTCGGGTTTGGAGTGACCCCAGCTCGCAGAGGACCCATTTCCACACTATACCTGGTGCATATGGGGGGATCTTTTTTCAGCAGTGCTGTGCTGAGGCTTTAGCTGACAGAAGGCGATCAGCTGGTGTTGAGGGATTAAGCTGTCTCCTTGCAGCTTCCTACCTGTCCGGGATCGTTCGTGCCTGGATAAAAGCCTGTTCTGTCGGGTTTGGAGTGACCCCAGCTCGCAGAGGACCCATTTCCACACTATACCTGGTGCATATGGGGGGATCTTTTTTCAGCAGTGCTGTGCTGAGGCTTTAGCTGACAGAAGGCGATCAGCTGGTGTTGAGGGATTAAGCTGTCTCCTTGCAGCTTCCTACCTGTCCGGGATCGTTCGTGCCTGGAGGTGGGAGATGAAGGTGTTGGGCTTCGCAGCGAGGCGTGCGGCACCGGCAGGCTGGAAGAGAAGCACTTTGCTTGCCCAGGTCCCTGTCCCTTATGTCCCACATTAAGCAGCAGAGCGGCTCGGTCGGTGGCAGTCATGATTCCTGTCACCCCTGCGAGTCCCTCTGCAAGCCTGCCCACAGGGAGCTGCTCTGTGCCACCCTGGGCATTGCTGCTGGGCATGGTGGGTAGGAATCCGGGCTGTGTTCTGCTACCATTGGGGTTAGCGCTGGCTAGATCCCCTCCCTTGTAAAAGGGGGCATGTGTAATAGGAAACCACAGTTCTTGGAGACTTCTGCCTGCCTGTTGGGATTTGTTGTCTGGAGCATGAGGAATACTAGAGGCAGCATCCCCCTGACTTTAGAGAAGTGCAGCCCTGTGCTCCCCGGCTGAACCCCGAGATGCCAACTTCAGCTTAGGACTAGGTGGAAAGGAGTTTGATCTCTTCTTCAAGCCGTGTTTGCCTGGACTCAGTGGGTACCACATCCCCGCCTCGCTTCATTACCTGACTTTTCTGTCCTCTTTTTGGATGCCTTGTGGTTGTCGGTCTTCGGTGCATTGGGAGATACTGGGAAATGTTATGAGGGCTGTGATGAGCTGGTCCTGAGGGCAGATGGAAGCTGAGGGAGGTGCACTGCGAACATGAGGGCTGCTGCAGGGGTTAGTGAAGAGTTCAAAGCTGCTTTAGGGTAAGATAAATCCTTCTCTGAATCTTAACCCTTCAAGGACTCTTACAAGCTCTGTCAAGCCATGATTGTAGATCCTTCAGCACAAAACCCAAATGCTCCAGAACAAGCTGGAATTTATGCTACTGCTTCTTCCCATGGAAGGACAGCCCTTGTAAGATTAATCTGCCAGCATCTACTTGCCCAAATCTCCATCATCAGGCAAAACATGATTATGGAGCTGCACGTAATTAGTACACAATGGCCCTTAAATGACTGAGATTGAATTAAAACCCTAATGGCAGAGCATCCACAGTAAATAAGAGAGAACCAGCCCCAGTGGTGAATGACTGGCCTATCGCTCAGCTCAGATTAGGAGAGCAGGAGCTTGGGGCTGGCCAGAAGCAGTAGAGGCACAGTCATTAAATTGAATATACTGTCTGCGGCTCAGTGCTCTTATTACATGTCAGGCAAGTGTCGGGGGGTGTGAGCTGAGTGTAGGCGTGGGCTTCCTGCCCTGGCCTTTGAGCTGGAAAAAAAAAAAAAGTCCAACTCTTTGGACTCGCCGCGATGAGGGATGAGTTTTGCTCTTTGTTGTATTCTCTTTTTTTATATCGGTTTCATCGAACAGGTGTCAGTGTCTTGAAATTATTTCCAGCAGATGTAAACTGCAGCGTTCATTATGGGTTGGGTGAAACAGTCCTGTGCTATAATATGTTTTATTTTACTTCTGTCCAATTTTGCCTTTCTTTTTGGTATTGTCAGACCGGTGGCTTCTGAACAAAATTTCACTTTGGTTTTGATTGGCCTTTCTTATGGGTGCATCTTCCAGATCTTTTAAACAAAGCTTCATAAATCAGCGTTGATGTAATTGTGGACGTGTTTTCCATGTTGTGCTTTGGATGCCAGAAGTGCTCGGTCCCCGGGGACAGCCCTGCGGGTGGGCTAGAGAAAGAGCTCCCTCTGACAGCGGGACGGGATCGGTCACAGCAGCAGCGGTGGTGCAGGCTGCTTTGGGAGGGATCAGCCTTTTCGATAGCCAGCTCTGAAGGTGGTTATTGCCCTTTTAGCTTTGTTATTGTTTCTTATTTTGCAGCTCTGGTTATGCTTAGTGGTTGCATCTTTGCCAATAAATAAGATGGGGCTTGAGTATCTGTTGCTGACCTGGCCCCAGGGAGATGATTGTGAACCTCTGGCTTGAGCCTGTGCTGTCAGTGACATTTGAGGTGGGAAAAGCATTAGGCAGTGAAATCGCTGGAGAAGAAGCTAGTAAACAAAAGACAATGGGTATAGATCATCATGTTCTGTCAGCAGTGTTGAATTTGAGGAGTTCCTAGTGTTGCTGTTCATTTACATCCTCTGCCAGCCTTATTGCTATTACCCCCTGCAAGTTCTGTACCTCAGAGCAAACTTTATCTTTCACCTAAGGGCTAATGGTTTTTCATGTGTTTCAGAAATTTGCATTTTAATGGAATAAATCTTATCTCCAAGGAGGATAAGAATAAATCTTTCCCTCCAAAGCAGTAATAATAATAATGAAAAAAAAGTCCGGGAAGCTTTCATCAAATCCCCAACAGTTCATGTGAAGTGTCGAAAGCAACCCCGGCATGTTTTAGATATGCCAGGCCCCTGAGTGTGTTTGGCTTCTTGTCCCACTTTGATAACTTCTCCAGGCAAGACCTTCCCCCGCCCCACAGTGAGATCTCTCTTACAGTTGTAACTCAGGACCCCCAAATCCCTGATGGCCTTTGAGCTCTCCCGGGCTGCAGCGCGCGGAGGTAGCGCTTAGGTGTTGCAGAGCACAAGATAAAAATGTAGATTGTTCCAGCACAACCATATGAAAAGGATAGCTGCAAGAGCAAAGTCTCCTTTGGAAGGAAACTGGGGGAAAATTGGATGCTGGTGCTCTCTGCTGGATAAACCCAAGAAGGGTTTTTTCTCACCAGCGCTGCGGTGACTGCGAGGTCTCGGGCAGCTCTACCCACACTGGGACGGTGCAGGTTGCCTTTGGCTTGAACCGGGCAGGGCTAGCTGGGAGCAAGTGTGGTAGGATGATTGCTCTGACTCCTCTCCTCCTGTCTCCTTCCCTTGCAGTGTGTTACTTGCTGAAGAGCAACATCAGCCCAGACCTTTGCAATGAAGATGGATTAACTGCACTGCATCAGGTGAGGCGTGGGAGGGTCGCAGCTCCCCCCGCTCCACACCGTCCTGTCTCCCGCTGCCCTCTCAGCAGACCTGCCTGGGTAAACAGGGAGAACTCCTGTATTCTATTTTTCACTCAGTTAAAGCAGTGAAACTTCACCACGTTGTGCTGCTGATCCTGTTTCTTGGGGAGCAATCTGAGATCAAACCCTTCTCTTGCTGTATCCCAGACTTTGTTCAGTGATAAGAAGAGCTCAGGAATCAGGGCTGGATTTCAGACATGAACAACATTTCTCCCACCCTTTCATCTTTGCAGGGTTGGGCTGTAAACTCTTAAAAGTAGGTTCCCTCAAATTTAGAGACTTTGGCAACCCAGGAGTTTTGAAACTGGTTTAAATAAATGATACAGAGGATGCTTGGAGAGCCTGCGACTGCTCTCTGTAGACTCGGGAGCTTTGGAAAGGCTGTACAGGATGGCAGCAGCTCATCACCAGTACGAGACAGACTTGCTGTAGCCGAGTGTAAGTCTGTGTCCATCCTCAGGGCCTCTGCAGTGATCCGTAAGGGTTTTTTTCTGTTCTGCTTTCGAAGGTCCCCCTCCCCTCATGAGGCCCAATTTTCAGTGTGACAGCATCAGGGGTGGCAGCCTGCAGAAGGCCCCCGGGACGCGCCGTGCCTGGCAGCTGCCGCCTCCGCTGCCATGAGGAACAGTGGCACGGTTGTCACCCTCGCTCCGAGGGCGGAACAGGGATTCGTGGTCTTCTCGCCATTAGTCCCTGCTGTAAATGCTCCTATTGACTTGGGATTTTGAATTCTTCTGCAAGTCGCTTGCTCTCTTCAAAGCTGGATGGATGTTTGCTTAAAAATGCAAATTGGCTTCTAGAAGAATAAGAGGTCCCTGCCACCTCTTCAAATTGATGTTCTGCATGCAAAGAAACACTGACAGCCTCCTAACTTTCCCTGGGAGGTACTGAAGCCATGGAGAATCCCACCTTGCATGCTGAAGGATCAGTTACTGTAAAGATGCATTTGGGAGTTGAGGTGGGAACTTTGCATCCACTAGAATGAGCTGAATCCCAGAACAGAGAGAAGCTCCCAAGTGAACACTGCTGCCCATTAGCAGTGGCTTCCAGTGAAGGATGCAGTTACACTTCTGTGATAGCTTGGCTGTGTGACAGGCATGATTTTAACCTCGCTTCCATATACGTATGTAAACAGAAATAGAAATACGTAAAAGGTTCTTATCACTCAGCTATTAAAATGCTCACTGTGGGTTGTAATTCAGCCCCATTATGAGCCCATATTGCAGTGCTGCGCTGGGAGTCTCCTCTGTGGGTCTGCAGTAATGCGCAGAGCACGAACAGGCTTCTTGCACAAGAATGGATCCTATTTTAGTGTCTTTATCATATGCATATTCATGTCAAGAAGTGAGCAGGAGGTGGATCAAAGAGCAAATTCCACCTCCCCCGGAGGAAAGCGATTGAGGCCATCCTTGCAGGCTGCCTCTGGGACTGCGGTGTAAATGCTTCAAGGATGCTGATTCTTCTCAGAAAATGAAAGGTGCCCTGTGAAGTACCTCATAAGTCTGGGAATCCAACGTGCATCTCTTCAGATAACTGTGGTAGGTAGCGTGAGCTGCTGAGAAGAGTTTCATTTCTCACATGCCAGTGTGTGGGATTTTCCATAAGAAGAGGGAATGTCACCTCATCCCTGGGTATGTGGTTATACTGGTTATGTTGAATTTCTGCTATGTTTGCCCTTGAGTATGGAGGACCCAGCGGAAGAGAAGCTGTGTGCATATTTGCTATTGTTCCCTACTGGTTCTGCCCCCAAACCAGAAGACAAACACCAGTGACCTTGTCTCTCCCATGTAGGTGTTCCATGTGGTGCCTTTCTGACCTGGGTGTGCTCAGTTTAGTGTTTAACGTTGCTAAGCGCTGCAGGATAAAGTAGGTCTCCACATCCAGGTGCCCCGGTACCACTGAGCAGGTATGAGCCCTCATCTTCTCAAAGTTTAATAAAACCAATCTGTCTGCATCTCTTCCTCACCAGTGCTGCATAGACAACTATGAAGAGATAGTCAAGCTTCTCCTCAACCACGGGGCCAATGTCAACGCGAAGGACAACGAGCTGTGGACTCCATTGCATGCAGCAGCTACATGTGGTCATATCAACCTGGTGAAGATCCTCATCCAGCAGTAGGTTGCTTTTTGTGTCTGTCCCTTTTTGCAGATCTGATTCTACCCACAGCTTCTGTGGATGGAAACCGAGACTGCTTAGTCCCTTGCCAGATTCCAGCGGTGGTGATTATTCCCTGCTTTCGGGTTATTCATAGAAAGATTTATACGATCTGAAAAGAAACCAGAGCATGTACTCATATTTGTGGGACTCCTTCCTGCCTGGGGCAAAAGGGGGTGAGGGAGGAAGAGCAGAAAGGCTGAGGAAATGCAGTAAAACCCTAGATGACTTGACTCGGTTTCATGAAGCTTCTGGACACTGGGCCAAAATTTGCCACTTTTTGTCTGTGTTCTGGTGTGTATGTGCCTGTGTTTGTGTTCATTGAACTGTGCTGTAGTTCCTACCGATGGGTAGGAATAGGAACAGCCAGCAGGATCCACCCTCAAGCTCTTAAACATGACTTCAGGTCTTCCAGCCATGGGCAGAGACTCTGATGTAGGACAGCGTGATTGTGAAGCTCAGATACTTGGGTGATCTTCCTGACCTGTCTTACTGGCTCTGAATTAGTAACTGGTTAGCTTCTCGTAATGCATGTGTTCCTCAGCAGTGTGAGACAGGGTGCTTGCACTGGACATTCCACTTGCCTTTACCGAGGCCCTAAAGGTCAAGTCCTTCCTAGACTTGCTGGAAGGATGAGGAAGCCAGATGTGTACCATGTGCTGCATGTAGTGAGCACCTGCTGGGATTCCTGTCTGGAGCAGATAGTCCTGACACTGTCTGGAGCCCAGCGTGACGTTGTAGAGGACAGAGCATGCTTTGGGAATGTTAATATGCTGCCTCACACAGCAGTTTCTGCTGCTTCTCCCTTGGGGAGGGAGACTTCTTCCTGGGATGCTGTCATCTGTGAGACTAGCATTGAAAATTTGGCCCTTCTTTTTTGGCTGTGTAATGGAGGAAGTGGAGCAGAGGATGCAAATCATCATTCCTTGGAGGACATTCCCACTTGGGTTAGGAAATCTTGGGATGGGGGGCATAAAAATGGAGCAATCCAATGTGGAGCAGTATAGTGCGTTCCTGATTCTTCACTGAAGATAAGGGAGTGTCATGGGGATGGGTGGCAATGTCAGGACTGGAGCTTCTGGCCCTAGTTTGTCATAGACTGCCCTGTGGTATGGAATTGCCAGCAAATTTTGACTTGTAGCCTAATGTCATTATCTCATGCTCAGAAACAGTCTTCCCCTGGACTCTTGAGGAATGGGGTGATTTAATTTGCTTGCTACAATCAAAGTTATCCTTTACAGGAGGCGCCACATATCAAATGAAAGTTACACACTGCCTTTGAGGGCAGTGTTACAGGTGATGGGACCTGGAACCCTTGGACACCATCAGAGGAAGTAGCCCACAAAAGATGCAGTTTCTTGCTTTTTTTCTTTGCTGATTAAACTAACGCTTGTGCTTTGGAAATGTGTATTTCAATGTAGTTTGCTCAGGCAGAGGGGGGATAAATAAATAAAGCAAAGGGAGTCTAGATGCAAATGGTACTGTCTGCTGTTCTTCCAAGACTGGTAACTGTCAGGGTAGATCGGAATTCAGCTGAAGCTATTTAACAGCCAGCTAAAGTGGCACAGTTCAGATGGCACTGGAAATATTCTACTATGTGGGAATATGGGGACAGTGATCAGTTCAGCTGGTGATTTTACTTCCAAATAGTGATTTCCTGGAGGTCACTAAAGCACTTACAGAGGTGCTTTTGGACAATCAGAAAGAAAAATTCACCACTTGAAAGGATATTTTTTTTATTGCTATTTTTGTCAATGTGCCCTTGGCCAGATGGAAGGCTTCCTCCACCATTCAGCCTGTATCTCTCCCAACTTCCCTGGTCCTTGCGAACTTTTCATTGGAGGACTGCCAGATGCACGGATAACAAGCACCTGGCAGTTGTTTGGCATCGTTATCCAGAAATTCAGCAAATAAATCACTAATATCATTGAGAAGCAGACAGTCTGTCCCATGCCAGGATCAGGAGAGGGCAGGACCAGCTCGGTGGCTCGTGTGCCCCACATCCCATGAAGGAGGGGTAGTCTGCTGCCATTCATCCACTTCTGGAATTTATCTTCCCCATTCATAGCCCCATGGCTTTGCTTCAAATCTTTCTTGTCACCAAGATCTGTGTGAGATATTTGAGCAGCTGTTAAACCCCAGTTGTTTTTTTGCTAGGTATTACCCCAGTGCCTGGCACTGTCTGCTCTGGGATGCCTAAGGTCCTTTCCTGTGTAACCCAGCTTTCTCCTTGCAGTGGGGCAGACTTGTTGGCAGTAAATGCAGATGGCAACATGCCCTATGACCTCTGTGAAGATGAGCCGACCCTGGATGTCATTGAGACTTGCATGGCCTATCAAGGTAAGGAGAATGAATTCATGTGAAATACAAAAATGGGTCAGTGTAGTCCTAAAAATTACCTTGTTTCTCCACTCTTGATTTGCCTCTGGAGAAAAGGAGAGCGCTGCTGTCTGGCATAATTCCTTGGAACCTGACTCTGTCTAGTTTCTCTCATTCCTGTATAGTGATGAGGGTGAAGGACAGCTGTCAACCCCCTCAGCTACAAGGCTCTGAAAGGATGGGAGGTCATGCCAACCAGGAATCATAAGTCCAATTCTACTCAACCAGTGGAGACAAAGACCCTTTCCCACTCTTCCTCTCTGAATTTCAACAGGAATTACACAGGAAAGGATCAATGAGATGCGGGCTGCTCCGGAACAGGTCATGATCTGTGACATTCATGACATACTTGCAACTGGACAAGACCTGAACAGGACTGATGCCCAAGGTGCTACGCTGGTGAGTGAAACTGCTGCGGCTTCACTTTTGCCTTCCGTCAGCCCTGAGGTTACGAAACTTGCCCTGTGGCAGCAGTTATACAGAATCAACACGTACAAGTCACTGCGAGGAGTGAGGAAGCTATTTTTTGCTGGTTTAGTTTATTGTCACGTAGGAACAGGCTCTGTCCATGAGTACAGCCAACACGTTAGTCTCTAACCCTGTGCTTTTTGAAGCGCACCCCTTGTTTCTGTGAGCTCTGTCAGTTGTCCAGCAGCTGAGGTCCTGCAGCAAGGCTGCTGAGCTCCTGGGTCCTGTCTGACAGTGGCTGGTACCAAAGAAAAGTGCAAGAAATCCAGTGAGTTGCAGGTCCTAGAACTTGGTCTGACCTCTGAGGAAATGGGACTGAAAGACCTCCCAGTAATGTTTTGGTTCTCGTTAGTCTTGTCGTCTGACCTGACTCACACAGAGGAGATGTGAGTCCTTTGGTTTTCACAGGAGCAGGATCTGGTGCTGGGCACTCTGGAGACTTCCTCTTCAGCTTTGCGTAGCGTCTGGATCAGAGTCAGCCACTGGAGTGCTGTGTTTATTCACGCAGGATGGCATCTGCCTCTGGGCAGAGGAAAGCACTCAGGACAAACTACAGCACACAGCAAGCTGGTGTCTGATATGACAGGACAGAGACAGAGAAGGCTGAACAATCCTAGTCCTGTCCCCTTGTTTTTCACCTGCAAACAGGTGTCTTAAACCCTTGTTTACACCAGTCCCAACTTGGGTAAAGTTCAGTAATGCTGTCATATGTGTTGGGGTGTTGATACAACCTTGGTCATTCAATGCTTGGGCCCAGACCTAACTGATACTCAGGCCACTTGCTTGGTGGCCAAACCATGGCAGTACAATCGGGTTCTAAATTGTCACTTACTGCATATACCAGAAGCGTGAGGGGCGGGCCAGCTCCCTCCAAGATAAACTCAGATAACTGAAGCTTTTATTGCAGTTTATTTTTTTAACAAGTTTATTTTTTTCCCTTTAACAAGGATTATGTACAGAAATTTAAGCAGACCTCTTGGCTTCCCTTTTTATATCAGCCCCAAGTGATTCCTTTTTAATTCATATGGGCCTCTAGAGGGTGTGACCCGGCACCATAATATTTGTGTGCAAACTAATGGAATTGCTAGCAAGCACCAGAATTTATTTCCAGATGCGGTTTTAACTTTGTGTGGTGGACTCCACGTGGAGATTTTTGCAAAGAAGCTTTAATTCTCCTCTTCAGCACAGTTGAGATAGGATGACCTCTGAGTGGAGTTCATGCCTTCAGAGTAGCGCATAGGTCAATGTTTGCCGCAGAGATGCAATAGCAGACCACAATTATGAAAATCTTCAGAGATAAGAATTGTTGTGGGAGACTAAAGGAGTCTCTAATTCATGTCTCCAGAGTGATGATTGTAGTTGGAAACCAATATCGGGAAAATCATATTCCCTTAACTGAAAGTAGCCAGCATTAAAATGGATTTGATTTTCAAATGGTAAAAACTATTATGAGTGGAAGTGCAATTGCATGAAGGGAGTCCTGACTAAAGCAGGCTGAAAATCTGATCCAAAAAATTCACATCCACAGCACTTCAGTGGGGAAGAGGAGACATTCTGGCATGAGGAATGCAGAGTTTACAGTGGATGATATTCTTTGTTGCAGGATTGTGTGTTGATGGTGCTGAATTGGGAAGCACTTGAGAGCTCTTGATTTAAAAATGCAAAAACATTATTTTTCTAACCCATATGTGTAGGTTATTTTAAAATCTGTTCAGCAGTTTCCTCTCCAAACAGGAGAATACTGAGTTTCAGTAACAGGAACAACCTGCTTTTGATCTGATGGCATCTGCCAAGTGTGAAATATGCTGCCTGTCCAGATGTAGATCCAGATGTTAGCCAAGGAGCTCTTGATTTAAAAATGCAAAAACATTATTTTTCTAACCCATATGTGTAGGTTATTTTAAAATCTGTTCAGCAGTTTCCTCTCCAAACAGGAGAATACTGAGTTTCAGTAACAGGAACAACCTGCTTTTGATCTGATGGCATCTGCCAAGTGTGAAATATGCTGCCTGTCCAGATGTAGATCCAGATGTTAGCCAAGAAATTGCACTGAAACTTGGTGTATAACACCATTCGTGGTCCTTGCAGGTGGTTCATGCTCTGTTCCTTATCTCCTAGCTGCATATAGCTGCAGCCAATGGTTACCTGCATGCAGCTGAAGTCCTTCTTGACCAGGGGGCAAGCCTCGATATTAAGGACTGGGACGGCTGGGAACCTCTTCATGCTGCTGCTTTCTGGGGACAGGTAATGATTTTGTTGTACATGTCATGTATGAGGGTGACATTTCCTTCTGCCTGTACAAATTGTGGAGTACTCTGCAAAGAAATCTCTACTAGGGCTGGACTCTCTGTACAGTGTCTGATGAAGTCCTTAGGGCTCCAAAAAGAACCAATTGCTGAGAAAGTTTGGGGAGAGTATGTCTGTGCAGTGGAACTGTTGGAACTATGTTTAACACACGTACCAGAATAATTTGAGGCGAGTTGAGCACGCATGCCATTGCTTCTTAGCTTATTCCAACTTTTCAGCTTTGAGGAGGAAAGCAATTGCCTAGAATACCTCTACCAATTTGGCTTTCTTTCCCTTTCTTTAGATGCAGATGGCTGAGTTGCTTGTGTCCCATGGGGCTAGTTTGAGTGCCAGGACATCTTTGGATGAGATGCCTATAGGTGAGTTTATAAGCTTAAAAAAACAAAAAAAAAACCCCCAAAAACCCCCATCAAACTAAATATTGATGACTAAGAAAAGTTTTTTCCCTTAAGCAAGCAGGAGAGTTCACATGGTGCTTTCAGAAGCATTAAATTCATTTTTTCAGATGTCTTTAGAATCAAAGTTGCAGTTACTTTAAGTGGGACTGAGGTTTTAAAGTGCCTACATTTTTACTTCTGAAAATGGTTCTTTCTGCTCATAAAAACAAGGGAGAAGGGATTTCTCAATCACCAAGTCTTTCTCTTGTGTGTTTACACTCATGTTACCCCTCTGTACCTGTGCTTGGAAGTCTCCCTGATCTCACATCCTAGTCCTGGACCTGAGCAGCTGTTCCGTGCAGCCCTGAGGCTTTGGTGTCTGACTCTGCTTTAGTGCAGGGAGGGGTGCTAAGCGATAAGGGGTGGGAGAGAAAAGAGAAAGCACACACAAGTCTTGGAACAGACTGGTAGTAAAACTTGTGCCACGTTTTGTTTTGGCAAAAGGTTTTCTGAGCCTTAATTGAAAAATCTGTGCCTCCACATTTTGAAGGTTGAACGTTCTTGTCTTCGGTCCTGATCTGGTCTGGTTTTGTCTGCTCTTTTTTCTTTTTTTGGAGGCTTAAGTAAAAATGTTGTATTCAGGGTCAAAATACAGTGGTCAAAAAATCCCTCACCCTTTCATGGGTAAAGGCACAGGACTAAACCTAACTGAGTAACTGGGTCACTGCAAAGCTGAGCCCTGTCACAATCAGCAGCTCTTGTTTTCCACTCCTGTTTGGGTGTCCAAACCATGCTGCCTCCCTTAATTTGTTTAGAGATTAATGTGCCTAAGCATATTCTGCTTAAATTTCCCTTCTCTTCCTCCTAGCATTTGTGGTTGTGTAAGCTAGGAAGGCACAGCTAGTAATATGGTGTTAATGGTACTGCATTTGAACTGATTAATGGCTTGGTTTGTGTGTGCCACAGATCTGTGTGAAGAGGAAGAATTCAAAGTATTGCTTCTGGAGTTGAAACACAAACATGATGTGATCATGAAGTCCCAAATGAGGCATAAATCCTCCCTGAGTCGAAGGACCTCCAGCACTGGCAGCCGTGGGTAAGTGCGTTGTTCCCTCCAGGTCACCCTGTGCCTTAGCTTGGCCACCCAGACGTGGCCCTGTAAGGAATCTCTTCTGCATTATGGGAGACACCGAGCAGGCTGGTAGCACAGATTCAGTAGCAACAGGTGCCCTGGGATGGAAGATGGCCGAAAAATTTGCAAACCTCATCCATCAGATGTGGCTGCAGAGCACCCTGCGATGGGCGTGCAGAGAACGCCCCATCAGTCCTCTCTGAACAAACTCTAAAAGGCAGAAGCTGACTTGGCGGTTGCTGGAAACTGAGGCCCTTTGAAGAGGGGTTCTTTCACTAGCAAGAGATGATGTTTCTTGCAGGGAAAATGGCTCTGCACTGCTCTGGTTTAAGAACTGCTCCCAACAGAGAACGTAGTGGTGAGAATTTGCCCTGTTAAACCACAGACACTGGTGTCTGAGAATCAGGGCTTCAAATGGTTTAACTTGAGCTTCTCAACAGTATGTCTCATGGCCAAGATACTGTGTTTGGAGACAGTTTGCTCAGGTCTTTAAGATGTTTACTACACACCAAAGCAGTCCTGCAGACCACGAAAACTCCCTAAGCAGCCCATGGCCCCTTTTCCTCTGCATTTACTCCACTGGTTGCAGAGTAGATCCATTAGGTGAGCTGCAGGAGATCTAACACAGATTTGCAGTACTACTTTAAAACCCCATAAAATTCCTCCCACTTGCAATATCCACACCAGTGCCTTTGCTTTGCTTGGGTGCCAGGAAGCTAAATTCATCTTCCATTTCAGTGGGAAAGGCTGTGAAGCACGAGGAGAGGGTGGAAGAGCTACAGTGTAAGGGGAAATGTCATGTCCTGATCATATCTTCGATGCCCCTTCTCCCTGTCCCACAGGAAGGTGGTGAGGAGGGCCAGCCTCTCGGACCGAACAAACCTCTACAGGAAGGAGTGCGAGAAAGAGGCCATTGTCTGGCAGCAGCTGGGGGCGGCAGAAGAAGGAAGAAACTCGGGTCTCATTGGAGAAATTGGGGAGACTCGGCCTGACCAGGAGAATACAGACCCCGTAAGGAATCTCTTCTGTGTTATGGGAGTCACTGAGGAGGGCTGGCAGTGCAGGGTCAATAGCAATGGGTGTCTTGGGATGGAAGGTGGCTGAAAAATTCATAAATCTCATCCATCAGATGTAATCAAAAGACCAAATTCTCATTTAGCATAAACTGGGATATGCCAGTCACGTGGAAAGACTGTTTTGGATTAACAGCTGCATAGTTTTGAGATACGGCCCTAGTGAACCAGCAAGTTTGGAAAAAATAACGTGCATTTCTCTTTACAGCTACCAAACTGGTAATCACAAAACAACTGTAATCTTGTCTTGCAGTTATTTGTTTTTAATTCAGTTATTGTCAAGTTATGTTAATATACTTATCTATCTGTATTATCTTTTTTGGGGGGAGTCCTTCTGAGTTAACGTTCCATGTTCCCGGTTGGGAACCAGTTCCTGGTTGGGCCTCACAGCATTACAGGGCCCTGTTAGTGGGTGAATTTGCTGCAGTACCTGTCTGGTGGAAGGGCTCAGTGTGAGCAGGCTTAGGAAGTCATCACAGGGATGAACTATCTGTATTATGTTTTTTGGGGGGAGTCCTTCTGAGTTAACGTTCCATGTTCCCGGTTGGGAACCAGTTCCTGGTTGGGCCTCACAGGTTATTATAGAGCCCTGTTAGTGGGTGAATTTGCTGCAGTACCTGTCTGGTGGAAGGGCTCAGTGTGAGCAGGCTTAGGAAGTCATCACAGGGATGAACTGTTATGAGGGACAGGGGAAGATGCTCTTCTTTCATGTCTTCTTGTTACAGAATTCAGTGCTGGAGAACCCTTCCCTCCTTCCGGAGCTAGCAAACAAGAGCACCCAGTGTGACTCTGAAATCCCCCTCCAGAATGGACTCATGGCATCTGCCAGCACTTACCAGTACACCTTTTCCAATGGGGACATTTGGAGCATGCACGCTGACCCTGAGAGTAACCCAGGCCCCATGCTGCCCTATGGCAACGCCGGGCTCCCCGACACGCAGCAGTTCTGGGGTGCCTACAAGGAGCATAACCACCAAACGCTCTCCGAACTGAAGCGGCAGCGGGCTGCAGCCAAACTCCTCAACCACCCTTTCCTCAGCACCCACTTCGGCAGCGGCTTGGGAGGAGTTGCCGAGAATGGGGGGGAGGCCAAGTCACACCTAATCGGATCCAGGACTTCTCCCTACAGCTCCAATGGGACCTCAGTGTATTACACAGTGTCCAGTGGTGATCCACCCCTCTTGAAATTCAAAGCTCCCATGGAGGAGATGGAAGAGAAGGTGCATGGGTGCTGCAGAATCTCCTAGTCTCATCTGTTTCTCGCCCCAGAGGAAACGAGACGTGGGTAGGCTGGTTGGATCCATCGCAGCAGCCAGGTTGTTTGCATTCCAAAGGCAGAATTTGGTTATGGACATCTTGACTGCAGTGGCCTCGTTTGTCTTGAACTGTACTTTACCCTGCCAATTACCTCCATTGCAGCTGAATGAGTAATGCAGGTGGAACAAGGCTCTTAGGAGAGGAAGGGATGCGCATCAGTATGATGGGAAGAGTCGCCCTGGTCTTGCTCCGTGGGGAAGAAGGTATGATGCACTGCCTCCCCATCCTCGGGATGTCATGAGATGCCTTGGAATGAAGAAAGGATCTGAATTAAAATCTTTGCATCTGAGCCTCTTGTACCAAGCTGGAAGGTGGCAGTTCAGACCTGAATTTTCACTCCTGGGTGATACGTATGTCCTGGAGGGGAGATCAACCTCCCCACGGGGTTTGCAAGAGTGGACAGAGCTGTTTTCCATACAGCTGGGTCCAGCACTTACTGGGCCTGAGCAACAGGCAAGCGTGGATGCTGTGCTTGCTGTAGGAAGTTTGCAAGGTGTTGTCTCCTTGCAGTGACAGCTCGCTGTCAAAACCGTGCACTGGCTGGGTCCTGCTCTGCTCATGTACACTCATTGCTGCAGACTGCCATCAGGTTTTAAGCAGAACTTTTCCTGGAACAGGCTTCACTCAATAGGCTTTAAACCCGATGTTGCAACAGGGGCCCCTGGCAATAGAATTTTACTGCAATAAAATACTGACAAAGGTCTATATGGGAATAAGTAATTTAAAAACCTTATTTGTACTATTTAGACTCTTAATTTGTTAAAACTGAAAAGACTTTTGCTGATCTCACTTTCCTATTGATTCTGTTTATTTACTCTGTATGCTCAACACCGATACTAGGGGCAGTATGCTTTGCATTCTGATTTTTCTGGATTTCCAGAACCACAGGGCTCAGGAGGGATGAGGCGGAAAAGCTTGCCGACGCTAATCTAGAAATGTCATGAAAGCGTTTCTAACCTCCCTAGATGTAACGACACTCGCGTTAACCTGCGCTCTTCGGCTGCTAAATAAATGTTAAATCATTGCTTGGTGGTTGAACGTTGCAGCAGGGCAGGGTATTTTTTTTTTTTGGTCTGTATTTCCAACTCCCATGCTGAATTCATCAGCAGGGGTGAGTGGCTGTCCGAAGACGACTTAAATGCCTCTGTGTATAAGGGCGTCCCCTCGCACCATTCAGCAGCGGTACTCTCGCTGTAGAGCGGTTGGCGCGCACCACCAGCGCGTTAGTGTAGCTCGTGTGAGCTCCGACGTTGCCTGAGAAACACCAGCATGGTGTAAGCGGGGGGTTTGGCACTGGCTCGCCAAGTTAAGGCTTGGCATGTCTGCGGGAGGTGAGAGTGCCCCGTGGGAGACAGCTCTGGGGCAGTGGCCGCAGGTAGTGAACACGAAGTCACCGTACATCTTCAACCCTTTTTCTGCACAAAGGGGCTATTGCACACATAACCATTTTCCTGCATGAATATGTGTCTTCTCAGGCAGTTTAAATTCTAAACTCTGAAAACATCAGCCTGTTTGGGTCTCTCTAAGCCGCCAGTGGATTAAATCCAGCTCACGTCGATGTGTCAGCAGCAAATGCAGCTTCCACCCATCTTCCTTTCGGTTCGTGGCTGTTAGACATCAATATTACACTTCACGTGAGCTCCCCATCAAATCGAGCCCATCACTGGGGCTGGATATGTTAAGATACAGTGCTCTGGGCTCCTCATGCTCGGCTCCTCGAGGCAGCAGAGGTGGCTGTGTGTCACCACCACGCTGTGCAGGAAACACTTCTGGGCCTGTGAGGAAGTTATTACCAGGCTGAAAATTAACTCTTTTGAACTCTGAAGATCAGTTCTCTTCCCTTGCCAGTTTTAGGAACAAATTAGAAAATGGTAGCAGTTGATCTGATTTTTTTTTTTTTAAATCTCAGTTCAGTTAAAGGCAGCGTGTTTCTTTGTATATTTTGATATATACTGGGAAGTTGAGCTTCCTCCGTTTTTGAAACGCACATGCTAAATATAAAACTGGAAAATACTTCTTGTGCTTAACCTTAAGGGATTTTAAAAGTCATTCTCTAGGAGAAAGATGATGATTTGGTAACTGGACAGACTTTACCACGTCTGTGTGTGCTTAACAGTGGGTCATCAAGAAAATTCTTTTGGGAAAAGATCAAGTGTAGCCTGGGCATTGCTGAACAGGGTGGAGATGAGCTTTCAGATGCCTCTCTTCTCCCATGGTGGGGAGGGTTGTCTCTCCACATCCACCCTAATGAAAATTCTGGGCTGAGTGTAACAAATTTTGGTGCTGCTATCCACTAGTTGGTAAGTGGTGCGGCATTTTCCTTCTCAGAGCACTTTTGTGCTATTGAGTGTATTGAATCCTACGTAACTCCAAGGAAATACAAAGGAGACCACTGAATGCGATGGTGTTAAGTACTTTGAGGTTGCTTTCACCGGGAGTTGTTAATACATTAAAACTGTAGGAGGCCAGGCCATTCTAAACAGCTTTTAGTGCCTTGGCGTTTCACTCTGTTTCTATGTAAAACTCCAGGAACTCATCGCTCTAGCTGTGATTTTGAGCAAACCAACAATTGATTTACTATCAAGCAAAAGATATTACAGGTTCTAGATTACAACACATGCCCCTAATTGCACTTTGTATTGCAAAATTGGCTGTATCACTATAAGCTAACATGCTCACTGTAGTCTAGTGGTGTCTCACCAAATATAATCAATTTTGAATCACATGGGAGAGTGATTAATTGATAAATCATCCAGAATATGTTTCACATCCATACCAAGTATCTACCAGTGGCTTTGGGCTGAAGTTGCATCAGAGTGGGACTTGTAAAGGCTGTTGAAGTGACCCGAAATGGATTTATGTTTACATGTTGGTGACATTCTGGATATAATAGCCACTGGCTGTGGGGCACCGGCAAATACTCTCAGGGAAGGAGCTGGCAATTTATGCTGCATTCAGAGTTGTTGGTTGTAGGTCTGGGACGAGCAATTCTGTAAACTGGGTATTTAACCGGTTTCTGGTAAACTCTTTATTAGAGACAAACAGGCTTTTGGGGGAATAATAAGCACATAGCTGTTCTTATATGTGCATTGTAGGAGCCTACCTCTAGGAACAGGTCTTTTTATTATCAAATTTAGCAGTGTTACAACAATAGTGGGTTTTTTCTCTATGTGTTTTGAAGGCCATCCCAGTGGAAGGCTCTGAGGTACATAGCAGAAGGGACTTGGCTGTTTCATTGGTTCCTAATATTGCTAAAAAGCCGTAGAAACTAGAAATCATGTTGTGATGGGCCTATCTACAATTGGCTTATTAGAGGAAGATTTGAGGGGGTTTTGTGCTATACCCAGTGTTTTTAGGCTCAATAAACAGCTAAATACAGATTCAAGGTCAGATTAGTCCCACTTTTGTTAGCTGTAAGCTAAAAGTTGTAGTTGTTCATACAGAGTACGCAAAGATTTGAGAACATATATGTGTTGATGGGTCTGTTGTGGGCAGAGCTGCACGTGAGAATAACCCTTTTGCTTGCAGACTCTTCCTGTATGCTGAAGTCATGCTGTTGCTAGCAAACTAACTGGTTAATGAAAGCAGCTTGACTTCCATGTTGAAAAACTATTTTTTAGGTGGAAGAAAAGGTGTCTCTCAAAACAGCATCAACCAAAAAAGTCCCAGCAATGTAATGTTAGATAAAAGCTTAAGTACCATTTGTGGGAACTGTTTGATGTCAGATTTGGGTCCGTATTTCGTGTACCAAGTGATGTGTTTTTAGACCATGTAGTCTCGCTTCTGTGGTGCTCCAGAATCTTAAAAACCTCCCAATTTTGGGAAGGACTGACTCTAGCTGATGCGATTCCATACCATCTTGCACGTGTGGTTGAAGAACCACATGGATGAGGAATTCCTGGTAGGGATGGAGAAGAGGATGGCAGGGCAATAGCAATAATGAGTCAGTGCAATACTCGGCGGAGGCAGTGAATTCTCCAGTTCATTGAGCAGGGTCTTATTTCATGGGGTTGAAAGCACCAACGAGCTCCCAAGTGGCATTACAACTTCTGTTTAGTGTCCTTTCACTTTAATCTTGGAGCTCCGTTTACCCAAATCTTCTCTGCTGAAACGAAATCAGCAATACCATGAAATAGGAATTTCTTAGCCGAGAAAGCAATAGCACTGGTCTCCAGCGAGCCATAGATGAACCGTTGTCCATCTGCTGGAGGGTGTTCTCCCTACGTCTGGGTGTTTCTGTGCCTTACCGTACTTGCTAAAGGGGAGTTGGTAACTAGTCTGTGGAAGATTTGTGGTGACTATATAGGGCTGTTCTCTAACTTGGAGACCATTTTGCAAGGAGATAACAGTTCAGAGCGTAGAGGATTTGGGAGTTTTTATTTTTTCTTTCAGTTTCTCTCGTAATCACTGGTTCTGTCTTCCTGAATACACAGAAAGGAAATGCGCAGCGTCTTCATTCTGATTCAACAAGTCACATTGACGAGCTTTGCTATAGCCCTTCTCTGCAGGCAGGATCCAGAACACGCCTGTAGCAGCAAGGTCTAACCTCCTACCCCAGAACACAGCTAACATTTACATTTTTTGTTCTGTGGCTGTACAGCAGTTTGTTGTCCCAGGTTGTTCTTCAGCTTTATTCTGCTGTTTTCTTGGCTTTTGTTCTGTGGCTGTACAGCAGATTTTGTTGTCCCAGGTTGTTCTTCAGCTTTATTCTGCTGTTTTCTTGGCCAAACTGCTAATGGACTCGAGCCACCCCTGCACAAGTTGAGTACCACTGGTTCTTTAGCAACATCTGCCGTGGCACAATTCCAACCTAGAATGTTTCGCTGTCTTTCAGCTGCGGAAGCTGTAGTAGAGCAGACTCTGCCCAAGATACCTGTTCCCAAACCTGCACCGATGCAATTATCTCCAGCCGCAGCTGGAGGGGAGTACGGGTTTTTAAACATTGCAGACGCAGGCCTAGTGTTGCCACTTCTACATCTTCAGCCTGAGAACGGAGTAGAGGAGCGTCGGTAAGCCTGGCAGAGCTCGGTGTGAGGGCTGCATGTGCGGGATGTTAACACGTGATGGCAAGCCTTCTGCAATAACTCGTAATTCCATCGATCGGTAGTAAATAATGTACAAATAAATCTTGATGAAATGTATTTTATGTGAAAAAAATAATGTAAGAACTGTATATTGTATTAGCAGCTTTGTGTATAAAATGGCATTTTGGCAATCGAGAGTCTAATATATTTAAAACTTTTTTTAAAAAAAGGATATTTGATATTGTACGGAATTGACTTTATTGCTACTCTAAGTATGAAAAGGTGGTTTCTAAACACGTTGAAGCAATGCATAAAATCTTAAATTGTACGTAAAACTCATGCCAAAAGGGTATGTCCGACAGTATTAGCACCTGACTCAGTGTCTTTAATAGAGA